TTATTTAAATAAAAGTGGAATGAAATCAATTGTTCTTTGCAAATAGTGCTGGGGCATAGTATGAGCATTGAGCCTGACTGTGCAGTCAAAGGATTCATGATCTCTTGAAGATTTGTGTCTGAAAAAGGGATTAGTATGAGATTCCACAGCATGTAGGATATATCTCTCTCCCACCCCACTCAAACCCCTAGAAGTTATTTGCCCTTCCATCTGCACTGACCTCAATAGTAAGAATCTTTGGGGTTTTTGGGTGTCTTTCTGGGGCTGTCCATTCAGAACAGTAAAAAAAAAAACTATGCAAGATTATTCTGATTATTCTCCAGCTGAGTACCATCTGCTATTCAGTTAATGACAACCCTGTCCTCCTAATTGCTCTCTGATTTTTTCCTACTTCACGCCAGACAGTATAAAACATTGGATTTTACATTTTATACATTATAAATCGGAATTCAAAGATAAAATTATTTGCAATACAATGTTCTCTCCAAGGAAAATAAGGGAAAACTCCCTTTCTTCCTAATTTAAAATTTGCTTAGATGCACTTTCTGGTGTAGAGATAGAAAACAACCAGTTTTAAATGTGAGAGAGTGGGTTTCGTAGAATTTGTTTATATGGGAACCACAATGACTGAAACCTTCCAATGCACATTCATGAGTCTACATGATGTTACTTAGCGTCTCACAGCACATTAACCACAGTCCTCAGGTTCAGAGAGTGAACCAAGCTATTCCATCTTCTCTATTCATACCTCACTTTCCACTGCACTATGTTTCCAGTGCACATGCATCCTTTTTGGAACTAAATTCCAAAAACTGGATTCAAAAGGTTTCATAAAGCACTAAGTTTGACCTTGAAATGCCATGTGAAATTTTTGCCATTGTGAATTTTGCCTTGGATTTCACTGGCAGCAAAATAGACACTCCAAGACAGTGAGTGCCAAATACAAAACTAATGTAGCAGCATCCTAATCTTCATGACTGTGCATAACTGCTGATTACTACTGCATTTCATAGTAAAATACAGTGGTGTATTAAAAGTAAGTGTTTTTATGAGATCTGAAAATGAATCCACATTCCTGACAACAGATCCCTACTATGTGGTAATTTTTTTCTGTTGCTGTTGTATCCTGCCTCCAGGCAGAAAAACACTCTATGTCCCTACTTGAGGAGCTGGTTCAGAGTAAGCTACCAAAGAGAAGATACACATATGGAAGAATGCACTAAACATATTGCCTTTGTGACCAGAACTAAACACAGTTAATCTGACAAAGTAATGAAATGCTGTCTGTGAAGTCTTTTTGGTCTCTTTTGCACTCATGAATAATACTTCTTTTTCTGTTCTAGTCTCACTAGAATAGAGAGCCAGATTTTCAAAATGTTTAACCCTTTCTCACTCCCTAAGTAATGAAACTTTAACTTGAAAAAGTCCTAGAATTGAATCTGTCAGAACTGACCAAAGGTCAGTTGGCTTTTACCAATGGTTTAGGGAAATGCTGAATGCAAAGCACGGGAAAATGTTGGTTTACAATTGCCAGGATTTCACTGGGCTATATTGAAACAGAGACCTGGGATGTTTTAATTCTGTTGAAAGAACTCCGTGTCTTTTAGGAGACACAAGAGAATTGTTCCTAGAAAATTCACTTCTCCTAGAGGATGGAAGGAATTTTAAATTGCAACAATACGCTTGAGGCAGAAAAGTTGGGTGAGGTGTCAGAAGGACACCTCTGAGGAGATCTTGAATTAATATATTGCTATGGTAGTGCATTCTGTGACTTGCTCTTGCAAACTAATGTGTCCACTGTGCAGTAAAAACAAGTAAAACAGTAAGCATAAACACTTCTGTGTATCTGACACAAAGCTAATCCATGCAACTGTTCTGAACAGAAAATAAACCACGATTTAAAAACGAATTATAGTTGAATCTCCTAGTCTGGTAAAGACACAGGGGGTCAGGAATTCTAGCACTGATAGGACTGATAGATGAAAGGCAATGCTTACTGATGAAAGTTTGCCAGAGAGCATTAAAAGTTACTTCTAGAGACACTGTGTTATTTCTAAAGACCAGACATAAATGGGCCCATACCACCAGAGAAGTAACAAACTTGCTGACAGTTGTCCCAGTAGGGATTGCATGTTCAGACTGGCTGCAGAGTAGAAATGGGTTCAGCATGAGATGCAAAAATCTCCCATGTCAGAATCTCATTCTCTAGCAATATGTCTTTACTGGCAACATGTTAAGATTCAAGTTTCTGTGTGCAGATTGTGCCCTGCAAACAAATAGAACAGTCTCTGCATGCTCATGACAATCAGGCTGGAACAGGCTTGGTGGCCTGATGGTCACCCATCTCTAACCCACTGCAAAATCTTAAGCCTGTGCTGCAACAACTGACAATTTAGCTGGATGTCTCAACAGCTTAGATCAGAGGATGTAGTGTCAAATTCTACCACCCTGGCCAAAAGTAGGAGCTCACTCCGTGAATAGTCAGGTATGCAGCAGCAGAAATACAGAGAGGGGGTCATGGTTGCCGACACTCTGCTAATTACAACATATTAAATAGTTACTGGAGCCAGGACTGCAGAGAGTTTGGATCATATGTGGAGGAACTGCCTGTGGAAGAGAACCACATTTCTGCAGAGTGCAGATCACGAACACAATACCAGTCCTGAGGGATGCATAATGTGAGGACATTCACTTCTCACTTGTTCTGTTCCAGGCAGAAAGGACCAGCCAATGTTTAGCGCTCCAGGAAGACAAACTGCACACTGATTAAAACTTCCAATTGTCTGTTCAAGATTTTGCAATGAACAGCTTGTCTGACTGCAAAAACGCTATTTGTGACAACAGAAATTTAATCAAAGCAACACAAAATCGCCGTGTGTACCACTGATCTGTGAATCACATTGTTTCTTAAGTGAAGGTAAACTCCACTGTAGCATTATGACAAATGCTACACCAAAATTATTTTTTATTTATCGGGAACCTTCTCTGAATGTCCAAATCACTGGTTTTCTTCAAACGCTATATATGCCCTGCCACCTCTACTGTAGGACCAAGCCATATGTGACAATTGACGTTTACCTCATGAACAGAGAGCTTCACTACATCTGCATGCATTGTTTGGAGGAGAGCATTGAGGAGAGAAGTGGGATTTTGACCCAGAGGTGTTTAAAAGTAGCAAGAACAGAAAGAAGCTCTCATCTCTTGTCATGGCTTGAAATCACACCTTAAGCTGTGGTCCTTAGGCCAAATTCAGACTCAGGACTAGAAGAAGCCTCTGAACAGCAATGTGATTATTCCTGCCTGTTCTAAGATCAGCACTGGTACAACAAGTTCTAGTGGCCATCAGAAGAGACCACATGGGCTGAACAAAAATAAAGTCTCAGTACTTCTCTGGCCTGGGCATGTTATCTGCATAAAAACCTTGAAGCTGCTGTTATGCTGTCTTTGATTAAATAAGCACTAAATTTCTACTGGCAAAACTATAGTGTATAAAAAAAAAAAAAAAAAGATTATTGAAAAAGAAAAAAGGATAGCAAAAATCCACTGAAATTTTTCAAATGAACAAATTCTTATTTTCAAAATGGCCAAATCCATTTCTATTTAATTCTCTGCTTAACTAGCAGAAAAGAAAGGAGGAACAGTTATTAAGGCTTCGAACACACAGGAACGTTTTGAAGCTGTGAGAGTCTAGTTATAGGAACTGGGGCTTTGTGACATGCTAGCAAATTACTCTATGCTTTAGCAAATATTGCCCAAAGACCTTAACCCTCAGAGTAGCTGCTTAGCATGCACATTGTGTTATACCACATCTCTGTTACCTACGTGGTACAGGCAAAGTAAGATTTTTATACACAGCATGAAACAGGCGATTTTCTGTCAGAAGAGCAAGGATTTGCATTTCTGTATGTAAAGTGCAGGGTCAGATTTTGAATGGTTAATCCTCATTAGTCACTTCATATTTTCTTCATATGTATCCATAAGCTGTGAACAAAAACATCTGTCAGTTAGGTCCTCTGTTCCCTTTCCCCAGGGAAGCATGGGTTTGAGACTCCTGGCTGGACTGAAACCACACATCACCCATAGAGAAACATCTGGCATTTTAGAAAAGGCACAAGAAAATGGCATTTTCAGAAGAGTCAGACCCCACTCAACACAATCCATAGAAGTCTATCCCCTAAGAGACTTTTGAGGTACTGAAATATGTTTTTAAGACCTAAGTCCACTGACATCTGCTTCCTAGTCTCTGCAAGAACCGTGTCATATGTCATGTTGCAGTCTCCTTGTCAAGTATGCCTATAAAATGCAAAAGCATTAGGAACATTCCAGTGAACTAAAATCAGTGGAGAATTAAGCTAACACCTCTATGTTGCATGCTATTGATGATAAAAAAACCTTTAAAAACTCCTCTGAGCCTATCTGGTTCCTACAAGACTTTCAGAAGAGCCCACAGAGTCAGCACATTGATTCCTTGACTCAGAGGAATATAAAATCCTGCCACAATGAAGAAGGAGGCAAATCACTTTTACACTCCTGAATGTCAGCCAGCTATTGGAGTGCATGCTGAGATCCCAAAATGAAGCGACAGTATCGCAAAGACCCGTTCAGCCATAGAGTGCCACATTCTTTCCTATGACAGCTCCAGAGTTTGACTCAGTTCTTGATCTCAGCTTACAGGCCAATGCTACCCTCCTGCCAGTGTGTCTACAGGCTTGCATACAATAGGCAACAGGAAAACAAAAGGGAGGGAAAGGGGGAAAATAAAGTGCAATTGCTGTTTTTTTCCCCGAAATGAAGAATTGAATTCTTTAACCTTTAAACATGCTTGTTTACTTACAGAAAGAGTATTTCAGGCACAAAAGGTTTGAGTATCAGTCACATAACAGGTTAAATTGAAATAGTATCAGGATTGTCCCATGCAGTGCAGTCAGTTTTATTATCCCCTATCAAGAAGTTGATGTTGCAGTTTTTGTATACATACATATATATAAATTATGCATCTTTCACACAATGGTCTCCTGGTCTGAGTTGACTCCAGTAGGGTTTATGTAACAACAGTATTTGTCATAAGGGCTGTTATCCTTGTAAGAGCATACAATGATACTGTCTTTAGGAGCCACAAAAATGTTGTCTTCAACATCAGGGCAAGCAGTGCTGTCCCTGCTAGGAGAAGAGCAGTTCTTCTCCAAGGCACTGTATGTGGAGCTGTCTCCCACAGACACATTCCCCGGCATCTCTGGGTAACAGGTCTCCAGGTATTTCAGCATCTCCTCCTGCTCTACCTTTTTGATGAGGCTCTTGCACTCTCCCATGGTGGCGGCAGCGGCGGTGGTGTAGATGAACACGGAGTCCTCACCCCGCAGCACTCTCTTGTCCTTCTGGTACACTTTCTTGGCCAGCTCGTCACGGCTGCCCTTGCCAGACTCCAGGTCTGAGGGGGTCCTTAGCAGTTCCATGACGTCCCGGTCCTTGACTTGCTTACAGCACGGTCGCATGTTCTCTGGACATTTGGTGCAGCCCTCGGTCTTTCTGGTGAGGGCAATAGCGGCGATGCCCGGTAGGCAGATAGCCGGGCCGATGGCCAGCAGCGGGATGTCTCCCAGG